AGTGTTAAAAAATAATGTATTAATACTTTTCTTCTTCACTGCTCAAATGTACTTTTTTCTTGCTGCAGTAATTTTGTCAGCCTATTTATTTTAGTCACTTCTTGCATCTTGATCAGTTAGATTGCTGTCTGATTGGATATGCACATTTCATTTACACTTGGCCACATTCATGTCTCAGAAAAACAGATATTAATGCAGTCTATAACCGTGCTAGATGCAAATTCACTTGATGCTAAAGCTGGGCAGCAAAATGATCTGTTGAACACTCTCATAAAGAAAATAGTGTTTGAGTTTCCATCCATGTGTCTCATCTGTGTTTGCTCACGCATGTGGATTGTGTGCTCCCAACTTATGCATACTGATGTAGTTCTGTCCCATAAGGATCAAATATGGATCTAATATTCCGTTCCCTTAAATACGGGCCAATTCTGTATGGGAGTTCAGTTGGCAATCGTACATAGAATGGGAGCTAGAAGAAGAGTATACAGAGAGATAAAGATAAAGAGCTCCCATGCTGTAGTGTGTCGACACACATGATCAGCGAAGCGTGTGCTCCAGTTAACTGATCAGTTGAGCCTGAGAATTCAGCTAGAGAGAGAAAAAAGACTGCACTTGAACAAAGCTCCAGATACGATATTGTAACTAATTAATCACACAATTGATTGCAATTATCACATCTTGACATAATGAATCACATCTATTTCATGTATTATATTTTAATTTAAGATGTATTTGATAAATGAACATATTTATATACATTATTTTAACACATTAAAATACAATTTAAACATTGTAACTCATCACAATTGAATCACAATAACATGTTTTTTATATTATTTAATATATTACAACATTTTTATAAATCTGTTTATATACATTATTTTAACACATTAAAATACTATTTAAAAAGTTAATTGTACCTAATCACACAATGCAATCACAATTAATCACATCTATTTTTATATATTATATTTTAATGTCATATATTTTTATATAATATAATATTTTTGACATTTTTGATTATTCTTTTAAATAATTTGTAAAAGTTCTAACTTATCAGACAATAATTATTCCCATCTAATTTTAGATATTATATTTTAATTATGTATATTTTTAATATAATATTTTATAAATGAATATATTTATATACTTTTAACTTAAAATAATGAGCGTTACAAATAATGTATATAAATATATTTACAAATATCTTAATATGAATACAAATTATTTACCCGACCCCACATTTAAACGTTTTTACTGGTGCTTGCTAAATTCAAGGTTAGGGATTTCAAACCACAAACCGGTCCTTCACCATCCAACGTATGTCTGGGTCTGGTTGGACTGTTTTGTCTTCATCTGCACCCAAAGTCTCTTCATATATATGAAACCTGCCTTATATTGTTGTTTTTTTCCTAGGTGTTTGACTGTCTAGCTGTATGTATTGCAGGATGTGATGGTGGTAGGTGAGCCCACTCTGATGGGCGGGGAGTTTGGCGATGAGGACGAGCGTCTCATCACTCGGCTAGAAAACACACAATACGACGCCACCAACGGCCTGGACGATGACGACGACTTCACAAGCTCGCCGGCACTCGGCAACAACGCTCCCTGGAACAGCAAGCCGCCCACAGGACAAGACAGCAAGCCAGAGAGTACGGCCTCGCAGCCCTCTCAGTAGGAGACAACATGCGCAATGCTTTCTCTCTGACCTCACTTTTTACCCTCAATGATGTAAATCCCAAGTCATGGTGTCAATGATGTCATCCATTTTCACCAGAAACTGATGGTTCCACTTCTTATTTGGGGTAACGTTTAAGAACTTCACAGACCAAACTTTGGCAGCAATATTTGCTCACTGGATTTTTTCGAAATCATCTAGCTAGGCTACAAAGCATCGCGAGAAATGTGACTTTTGGAGGAACTTGATTTTATCGAGGCTGAGTAAGCAATCTGAATTAACAGAGACCTGAATTTGGGACAACTTTAGCCCAATAATCAATGTAAAAAAGCTACCTGTCTCGCAGTTCATCACACATCTCCATAGTGACTCCAGCTGGCAACCACACTCGATATCAACCAATCGCTGAAGAGACGGTCATGTTGACTGCCTTCTCACTGGAGACTGGAACTGCAGAGTCACCCACTGAGACCAATCCCTGAACATTTGCATTTTATTGGAAATTCGTTTGGCTGTTGTCTTTTTCTCTTGCGTTCCTTCAACACAACTGACTGCATTAACAAAGACAGCTTGCATTGAAAACAAACAAAAAAACATTGCCAGTAGCCATTTACAGATTGTACTTTAATTCAAAAATTTGATTTCTGAGTCAATGTGTTATTTCAATCATTTGTGATTTTTCTGTATTCTCATTGTACTGTACCATAGGGATTAGGGGTTTATTTATGGACAGGCAAGCACATATGAAAAGCATATTTGTCCATCTTTCGCCTCTCTCCCTGTATTGACTTATTTTCCGAATGGAATATGATATGTTTCTGCATGACATTTTGAAATCGGTAATATGTTTATTTCCAGACTTTTGAGGTCATGTTGGACTTTGGTAATCAGTTTGGAAGTACAGTAACCAGGGTTGTGACTTTGACAATAAAAATGCATTCTGCTTCATCTGATGTCACTGAAGTCATCAGACCTTGATGTAAACGGCAGCTGTTTTGACGTTTACTACTTGTTGTTTGACTTTTTTTTTTTTTTCCTGATAATAACAGATGATTTCATACTCAGGAATGAACACCATACTGAGAAATGAGAACATTAAATATAGTTTACTGTAAATCCAGTCACAAATATACTGTTCATTAGCTTTGTATGAGTTTAAATAACATTCATCGTGTATAGCTTCACCCTACTTTTAAAAGGAAAACAGCCTTTTTATCTAAAATTCATCATTCTAAAAAATGCAATGAATGCCCTTCTAGCAAATCATGTGAACAGGTTTATAGAGCTTTGTGTCATTTCTGTAGCTAGAGACACTGTTTTTACAACATTTTTTTCATATACTGTCCACTGGATTTGAGAACATTTCTTAAAGGCCCTTTAAGAGTTGTGGTGTGCTTTAATGATTGAAAAGAATATTACAGTGATGATGATGATGATGATGATGATGATGACAAACAGCCAAATATTTTTTTTAATTAATCAGTTTCTTTGTTCCTGTATTTTGTCATTACAAAACATATTTCCTGAATATTATCGCAAAGCCTAAGATATTTCCAAAACCAACAAAATGACAAGATATCAGCCACCCACTGTTTAAACCTTGTAGGCCTATTACTGAAACTCTGCACAGTTTGTAAAATATTTAGCAGAGCTGTTTTTTGTGTCATATCCAAAGTCTTGTATGTATGCTTTGCCATTTTGTGTGCCAATAAATTGTGCTTACAAAACTTTTTGCCGCAATATTTCTGCTCCCCCTTACTCAAGTTTTACTTTGCACATTTCCAAACATGTTTTTCAAGTCTCAATGGCGCCACCCTGTGTTCAATATGATGCATTTCTTGCTTGTGTTATTTTGTATATTTACATATGTTATATATTTATATGGTGTATATATATTTATACAGTGGTGGCCAAGATTATTAGAACACAAGTATTTTCACCAGCTAAAAATGGTTTCAAGTCAGTTATTTCTATCTGTTGCTGTAGTGTGTCAGTAGGAAATATCAGTTTACATTTCCAAACATTCATTTTGCCATTAATTGTAATAATCCAGTGAGATTTTTGTTTGCACAAGGAGTCTGACAACAGCCAGTGCTCCACACAGAGATCTGATCTCACCATCATCAGTCTGTCTGGAATGACATGAAGAAACAGAACAAACTGAGACAGACTAAATCCAGAAGAACTGTGGCAACATCTCCAAGATGCTTCAAGAGACCTCCCTGCAAAGCTACTGTACTGTTAAAAGTTTTAGGCACTTGTGTAAAAATGCTGTAAGATGAGGATGCTGTCAAAAATAATGTCATAAATAGATTTTCTTTATCAGTTAACTTCTATTAACTAAATGAAATCAACATTTGGTGTGACCATCCTTTGTGTTTAAAACAGCTTTTGCTCTAGGTGCGCTTGCGCATTGTTTCTCTGGTAGCTTTGCAGGTTGGTGACGTTTGATTTAGTCTGTCTCAGTTTGTCAGTTTGTAAATGTAAACTGATATTTCCTACTGGCACACACTACAGTCAAGTCAAGTCACCTTTATTTATATAGCGCTTTTAACAATACAGATTGTGTCAAAGCAACTGAACAGCATTAATTAGGAAAATAGTGTGTCAATATTGCAAAATGACAATAGTAAACACTCATTTTTCAGTTAAAGACAGTTCATCATTGAATTCAGTGATGTCAACATCCAGCTCAGTTTAAATAATATCTTTGCAATCATGTCAACGATATCGCTGGAAATGAAGTGTCCCCAACTAAGCAAGCCAGAGGCGACAGCGGCAAGGAACCAAAACTCCATCGGTGACAGAATGGAGAAAAAACCTTGGGAGAAACCAGGCTCAGTCGGGGGGCCAGTTCTCCTCTGACCAGACGAACCAGCAGAACGGAAAAATCAATATAAGACGTAATAAAACAGACGATGAACAATATTAACAGCAATTATTATGATGCAATCAACTACAGCAAAAGATAAAAATAACTGACTTAAAACCATTGTTTAGCTGGTGAAAATAATAGTGTTCTAAAAATCTTGGCCACCACTGTGTATATATATAACATATAAATATATAACATATCTAAATATTCAAAATAACACAAGCAAGAAATGCATCATATAAAACATCTAAATATACAAAATAATACAAACATACAGGTTTTTCAATTTATGCATTTTTAATTTTCAATTAAAATATTCGTAAATATACTATAATATTTATTTTGTAAAAAGAAAACGACTCAGAATTCAAAATTATTTATGTACATCATTTCTACTATAACCTGCTGCATAGTTTATTTGATCGCAACAGTGTACTGTTTATCAGCATCACGTGAGTGCTGTGATGACGCCACAGCGAAGATGGCGGATTCGCTGTGTGGCTGCGGGGTGTCAGACGAAAAAGATCCCGAAAATGAGGATCACAAAGGGGTCAAATGTCCCTGGGCTGCTGCAGCCATATCGAGGAAGACAGACGTCTTTGGGTCGGCGGCGAAAATGACGGAAACTCTCGGATGTTATGAGAAGCCCGCCGTTAAAGACGAGCAGCACGAGCATTCAGGTGAGCGCGAGCATCTGACAACCGACCTTCGCCTTTGCTTCCAACGTGGCTTCAAGTTTCCCTGGATTTACGAATGCATGTACCAGTCTCTTTAATGTGGCCACATCTGAATTGAATGTTGTTTTGGCTAATATTCTGATAGCGTTCTTGCTAAGCAGTCGTTTACAGGGCGCATATATGTTGTTGTATTCATTTTAAACATATGCATCAGAAATCAAAATACTTGTAGTCTTTAGGTCTAGTCTAAAGTGCTCATGGGAAGCCTGAGTGGGTCATCTGAGGTCTCGTTTCTCTTAAACAGCCTGTCTGGTTCTGGTTCTGGTCCAAACATGGTGTTAGGAACACATCCAGAGAGAAATGTGCACTTAAAAGCTGACATCTCTAGCTCTTCCCCTATCTGGTATTTACCGTAAATCAGAAAGCATTGCAGTGACAAAACTAGCACAAAGTTGTTGCTTATCTGTCAAAATGTGTTGCAGGAAATAGCAGCTGTGCAAACGCATCTTGCTATCCACAACTCTGAAACTGCATTGTAGTGGTTGAGCGATTCAACTGCCTAAATATCAATGTGACAGATATACTGTATAACGTTACACATAATACACCTAAAAAAAAAATCACATAAATTCCGAAAACTCATAAACTTGAGGCAGCCATCTTCAGGGATTTTTTGAATTGTTGTGTAAAGAATTCTTTCACCAAATATAATAAGTTCTATACAATCAAAAATGTTTTTACTTGAAGTTTTTGTAAGTTCTTGCATTACATTGTAAGCTCTTGCTGTTTATTATTTTAAACTGCTATGGCCTAAAATTGGCTTTGCTTCATTTATGTAATGCAAACTTTTTCTGCATTTGACAGTTCAGTCAACCTTTAAAAATAGAGTTTTTAATCACAAAATTACTAACAAAACATTTTAAGTTTACTAAAAAAAAAAATAAAAAAAAAATCTCTAAAGTTTGACATTTTGAAAACAGAAAATGTCTATTGTCCCATGACAAGGCTGCCATCAGACTTTGCACTGACCGAATCAATTGGTCACATGGGCACAGTTATTGGCTGATGTCAATAATGTCAAAATGACAAGGTACTGGCTAAATAGTTAGCCTGTCTATCATCATTATCTTCTCACAACTCACATGCTTGATTTATTTACCACTTGCCAGTTTGTTTAAGTAATTGTTATGGATATATTGTGTTATATATTGTGTTATGGATATATTGTGATGTTTGTATGCTTGTCTTTTTGCAGAAATGTCGAAATGACTCTGTTGATCACTATAAATGTTGACTTATCAATTTAATAGCATGAAACACTTTTTTTCTCTCTACCCCACAGACTCGGATGACTCTGGCGAGCCGTCTCTGCTGAGGTTCATGTGTGCAGAGCTCACCAGGGGCTACTTCCTGGAGCACAACGAGGCCAAGTACACTGAGCGGAGGGAAAAGGTCTACACCTGCATGAGGATCCCCAGAGAGCTGGAGAGAGTGAGTCAAAAACTTCACCTTCAAATTTGATCATACGCATAGGCAGAAATGTGAGTCCACTATGTAAGCAATAAAAACGTTACATGTTTGACGGATAGTAAATGTCTACAATGGACTGCTTTGAATTTGTCTAATTTGGCACGGTCTCCCTGCTGCACTAATAGTAGTAAGGCTTTACTCTGTGTATACATATCCTTACAAGTACAATTTTAGCTGTATTTTTTGTATCATTTCATGCATGAATACTTTCTGAAATTTCTAATTAGGACAATTTATAAATTTTATAAACAAAAGAGAAGCTTTAAGGTCTCCCAGTGATTTTCTGCCAAAAATAAAAGCTCTTTAGTTTAACATTTGAAAGCAAGGAAAATAATGCCGCCATGAATACTGACATTGTAATTACTGGTATTCTAATTTGTAAAATACAAATTATAAAATATATTTTCTCAGTGGTAATATTACATTAGTAATGTATTTATTTATTTATTATTTTTTTGGTCTGTAGCTGATCACATGCCTGACTCTTATTTTTAATTTGATCATATTATCGATACATTTAACAAAATGAGTATACAGAGTATGCAGAATATTCTGTAGGCCTATTCATAAGGCCTCATCAGTCGCATCATTTTACATTACAAGTCCAGATATTATTATATATCTAATATTATAAAATATATTAATATATCATATATTATAGACCAAAACTCTGTAATTTCAATGCTTTTTAGATGTTATCAAAATAGTATTTCAGATTAAAGAGCCTGAATCTGTGAAATATTCCTGCCTCACTCTTTCTCAAAAGGTGTTGAATGCCACTAGATGGAGACATTGAGTTATGGAAAACTACTAAGCTGGTTCAAACTATATACTTTTTATTTTGTTACACTTCTAATATTATTGAGATGGTAATGATTCACATAATGGGCAATATGTCTGAATTCAAATATTCACATAGCATTTTTACATCATGCTCAAGTCCGCAGGATCACACTCAGGTTTGTGTTGACAGCTGAGGTATGCACAGTTGCACACACAAAGACGGCTCCGTGACACTGAAGGTGCTTCACCCCTCAAACCCTAGAAAGAGCTCAGCAAACTCTGTAAACACCAGTGAGACGAGGGTTCATTGCTGACCTGGAAGCAGTTTGTTCATTATGTTTGCAATGCACAGGTGAAAGGCTAGATCTGGAACTTCTGATTCCTGGTCAGTACAGATGGACTGAACACCAAAACAAGCCAGAAACAGCTTTGCTGTTCTTCTCTCTTAGGTTGTTGCATGCTTTTTCTGGAAAGACCATGCAGTTGGTAAAAAGTTAAGCTGCATACCTAATAATGATTGCTTTCAGCCAGTGTGTTCACTCTGAGCAGGTAGGGCCCATGTTTTCATCATCTTGCAGAGCTCTACAGTAGGAATGGCTGATGGGTCCAGCTGATGAAACTGTCACTTGACCTATCACCCTGTACTTTGTTTTTGCTTTATTTTACACTTGTAGATTTTTATGCTTTGCAAACTAAATGCCTGAGGTTTTATCAAAAACATATAGCCTATTTGCACTACTGTTCAAATTTTCAAAAGTTTAAGCTTGATAACGTTTTAAAAATGTAAGAAGCCTTATGCTCAACAAGATTACATTTATTTTATCAAAAATACAGGAAAATTGTGAAATATACAATTTAAAATAACGATTATATATTTTAATACATTCTAAAACATTATTTATTTCTGTGATGGCAAAGCTGAATTTTCACATGATCTTTCAGAAATCGTCATAATATGCTGATTTGGTGTTCAAGAAATTCTTATCAATGTTGAAAACAGTTGTGCTGCTTAATATTTTTGTGGAAACTGAGATGCATTTGCTTTTCAGGATTCTTTAATAAATAGAAAGTTTAAAAGAACAGCATTGATTTGTAATCATTTATAATGTTAATTTCTTAACTGTCACTTTTGATTAACTGAATGCTTTTTTCTGAATAAAAATAATTTCAATGAAGGTAGTGTATTTATTTTTTAAAGATTTTTTAAGTTTAAATGGAGTGTAAATAATATTTTGATACATACAAAGATGTGTGTATGTATATATATATATATATATATATATATACACACACACATATATACCAACCAATGCAAAAGTGTTTGTAAATAAATAAAGTATACCAACCAATGCAAAAGTATGTTGATAATGTTTTAGTGATCACAGTGTAACATATGTAGCTGTAGAGTTTCTGTTATTATTGCAAAGAATATGTATAGGTATAAGCTATTTATTTATTACTTTCTTGTACAGAAATCATGAATGTAATGGGAAAAAATACATGTACAAATATGCAGAATAAAATTTTATGGAAAGTTCTATGAAAATATTGTCTTTACAAGCTCTTATCTGAACTACAGGCCTGCAGAACAGCTCCTCATTGTTAAGCCCTGTCTTGATTTATCTTCCATTGCCTTTTATTTTCTTTGTGCTTTGTTGAGAGGGTTCTAGTGGTCTGTGTTCGTCTCCTAACAAGCTCTCTTTGTTTTATAGCTGCTGGTAAAAAAACTCGTCTTAGACTTTAAAGAGCCAGTTGCTTGTGGTGCATGTTAACGTTTTAATTTGTTCTTAATAGTCTTTCTCTGAAACTGAGGAGTGCCTCCTAAAGATGAAAATATTTTAAGGTTACTGACTGCTGGCAGACATATTCAAAATCTCCTTAAACACATTACATGCCTCGGTGCGCTCAAGCATGTGAAGCATCAGGATTCAGGGCCAAGGGCTTCCTTAACATGATGTCACAGTTATTTCTGTATAACTTGATGAACACAATGAAAAACAAATGAATTTCTGCTTTGCATATTGCATATCTGTGTGCAGGTGCTAATGTCTCTGTTTGTGTCTTTCTACAGTTGATGATCTTCGGGATCTTCCTGTGTCTGGATGCCTTCCTGTACGTGTTCACCCTGCTGCCCCTGAGAACTTTACTGGCCTTTCTGAGGCTGTTGACGATACCCTGCTGCGGCCTTGGGTAACACAATACTCAATATCTCTCTCAAAAATAAAAGATACACTGGCATTCAAAATTTTGGGGATTTGTTTTTTATTTTTGCTCACCTTTTATGCTCACAAAGGTTGCAAAAATACAGCAAATACAGAAATATTGTGAAATATGATTACAATATAAAATGTTAAATGTTATTAATATTCATTTTAAATGTAATTTATTCCTGTCATGCAAAGCTGAATTTTCAGCAGCCATTACTTCAGTGTTCAGTGTCACATAATTCTTTAGAATTCATTCTAATATGCTGATTGGTGTTTTCTTATTCTCACATTTCTTATTATTATGCATGTTGAAAACAGTTGTGCTGGTTCTTTCAGTATTATTTAATGAATAGAAAGTTTTAAAAATATGTTCTTTTTTTAAATAGAGATCTTTTCTAAAACAATGTGTTTCTTTTGATCAGTTTAATCCAAGCTTGTTGAATAAAAGCATGTTACAAAATTCCTTTCAACAAAGAAAATCTTACTGACCCCAAACTTTTGAGCAGTAGTATATTTTCAGATGAACTTCTTAATGTTTGAAGACGTTTCACTACCAGTCATCTTACAGCTGAAAATTTGATTCAAATAAAGCCAGGTGCACACTGTGGCATAATTTTGTTTTGCTACCTGAGACTAATTTTGGTAATTGTTAGTTTTTTATTACAAAGGAGAAAGAGAAAGACATTTAGTTAAAAATGTTGATACTAACTTATCTACGTGATGCTCAACATAGTGTTCCTATCACATTATGATTATACCATCAAAATTACCTCAAGCTTGCAATGAAGTCAGTGACCTCAGTTGCCCATCAACAATTGACTCCTGACACACCGACTCTTGCCGTGCTTTTGTCGTCTTTCATGAACAACTTTGCCAACATTACTGAGTTTGTGCAATATGACTTCAATATCACATGTAAATTAAAATGTCACGTTTAACTAAAACGGCCATTTAGTTGTTGGAAACACACACTTCACAAACATAAAATATACTTTGTCATTCAGTCTGCCATGGCTCTTACCTAAGATCTCACTGGGGCACTGTCATGTAATCTGACAAATAACAGCGTTTTACACAGAGTGTAAACGAGTGCAGTATACACTTGGCTTTAGCAGCAAAAAGTGTCTTCAAACCACAAGAAAGGAGTGGAGTGTGTGCGCATCTCATCTGTAAAGCCGGTTCCGTGATTGGTAACGTTCATAATCGCAGATTAATCGCATTCGATTATGAATGCGATATTGCCTAGCTTGTCAGTGAACTACAGCTCTGTGTATTCAATGCCGCTCCATCTGAAAGCAGGTGATGGCGATTTACTACCAATCACAGAACCAGCTTTACTGACGAGATGCGCATTACAATCGCATGCGATTAATTGCACAGCCCTAGTTATTATTGACTTTTCCTCATATCAGATACAGTATAATGCCTAATGTGTGCCTCTCCCTCCTCCCATTAGCGCTAATGTTTGCCCTTATTGCAGACAGAGCAGGTAGGACACCTGCCTTCAAAGTTTCATACAATCCCATCCTTCATTCTGTTTGATCCATATGATTTATATAACGAGCATGGCACTGAAGCATTTGCCAACCTGGTAGAGTGTGTATGTCGCTGGCAGAGATAACTCTCTTTTAGCTTACGATATGATGGTGCAGTAGATTTAATTTTAACTCTCAGCTGCTGGCAAGTGAAGAGGTTTCATTTTGAACTGTCAAGTGTCATTTTTGGCTGGCAGTGTTTGTGTTTCATGACTGTGTGTCTGGCGCCAGTGTGACATAGAAGTGCTACATTACACAACATCCTACTGGAAAAAAAAATAAATGTAAGTTTAAACCAGCCTAAGATGGTTTGCAGAGTTTAGTTAGCTAGTTTAATCTGATTTACTTTAGCTTGTTGGCCAACTAACCAGCTGCCAAAACAAAATCTAAGTAGACTAGCTTGGTGACCATCCAAGACCAGCAAACCACTGTAGGCTGGTTTATACTGTTTTTACCTACAGGAAAGCAGTTAAAAGAGAGTTTTTTTTTACTTTCTACTCTGGTGTATTTGGTCAGGATCTCCTAAGTCATAGCGACTTTTCCCTTCGCTTTAATCAAACTGCAAAGAGGTTTAACTGAATCCTAAGATCCGTAGCTACACTTAAAAATTGTATTAATACCTCACAGTCACATTTCCAGCTTCAAGAGATTATGTGTAGAAATATTCCTATTTAAATGTAATTGAAGAGCTTACACGTCACACTCATGTTTTGGTAAAATCTTGATCTAATATACTGTTACCTTTAGGACCCCTCATAATGAATAAGATCCTTCAAGTAATATCACAGTAGCCTTTCAGGACAGTTCATTGCAGAATTAAAGGAACACTCCACTATTTTTGAAAATAGGCTCATTTTCCAACTCCAACTTATGCAGCGCCTGAAAATAGGCGAACTTCTGTCAACATAATCAACGTGACCACCTGCTTGCACAGGGAGCGTGCTGGGGACTATTTTCAGGCACTGCGTGATATCATTGCGCCTGCTGCACCCATGGTACGGCAGCAAAGTTCCTTGATTATTATGCCGAAATGAGAGTATAGTTCCTAGCCATATCGGCCTAGAAAATCGCAACTTTTCATTTTCCGTCGGTCTTAGTACACGATGTAACTACAGAAGAATCAAGTTTTAAATAGGAAAAATATAGAAACTCTTTGGTCATTTTTGAGCGAGATACTAACGGTCTAATCAGATTCAATGATCTATGCTAAGCTACAGCTAAAAGTGCTACTGCCAGACCCGGAGATCAGCTGAATGGATTCGAAAACGGTAAAACTCAACTGTTTAACTCTAGGGGAGTTGGAAAATTATCCTATTTTCAAAAATAGTGGAGTGTTCCTTTAAAACCATTCAGCATTACAATTCTGCATCTCATTTCTTCAACATGAGTCAAGGATATAAAGGACAAAAGTTTTCTTACACATAAGCCTGGCACTTTAGCACAAGCAGAAGCTGGAGCAGATGAAAGGCAAATATCAGTATGTGCTTAGTATGCTTACAGAGAGACAGATTTCTTATCCCAGCTGTCAACTTTGAGTATGAGCCACTTTATATGAATTTCATATTTAAAATGTAGGCTAAATATTTTTAAAAATATATAAAAAATTTTGTATTATATTTATACTAATATATAGGGGTGTAATGGTACACAAATATGATGGTTTGGTACAATATAATAATCAACACTCAATTAAAAAAATTGTATGCTAACATGTAAATTGCACATAATGCAGTTTTTAAATTAACTTGCCCGAGGTAAATTAAATTCTACGTGACATTTTGTTTTGACATCTTTCCGCAGTTGAAACACTGATTGAGTGATTACATGAGTCATGGGATGTTCATTCATGTTTATTTTGCACTAGTAAGAGGAAGGGATGATCACACTCACTTGCACTCTGCACAGCTGTTTGAACAGTGATCTGTCACGACACATCAAAGAGCACCAAAACGGCATTCATTGTTTCAGTTTCCTGAAAAAAATGGACTGGAAGATGAGACTTTGTTTCTTATCAAAAGTAGCAATATGTAAAACTGGAATTTTCCATTGAAGTTCCACTCATGCAGTGGTTAAACCAAAAGATCCTTATCGAACATTTTCGTATACGAATACGTATACCATTACACCCCTAATAAAGTAGTGTTTGAGCTTTACAGTTATTCTCAGAAAGTAAACCATCTCTGATTCGTCATTTGCTTTGTCAAAAAACTACACTGCTGTTCAAAAGTTTGGAGTCAGTAAGATTAAAGAAAAAATAAATGAATACTTTTATTTATCAAGGATCTTTTAATTGACAGTAAAGACATTCTACTGTATTTTGACCAAATAAATGCAGCCTTAGTGCATACAAAAACATTTTGAACAGTAGTGTATATGTTTTCCTTTGGCACTACCTTGCCAAAAGGACATTTACTATTAATTTATTTTTGTACCATGGTATCACACTTTTTTGTGTATGGGGGAGTCGGACGATCATAATCTTTGTATGACAAAAAAAGCCCAGCTTCTTTCAGCTTTTTATTGCCAGTTCTCAGTCTTGCTGTTTTCCTGAGGATGTTTGTGTAGATTCCTCCTCGTGAGTGGGAGTGTGATGCCTCAAGTGAAAATGAAACATCCGTCTAGTTTTTCCTTTTTTATTCTCCCACCCACACCCAAGACGCAGGATCTGTACACACCTCTGAATCACACCTCTGAATCACAGCTCAGCTCCTCGAATAAATCTGATACCTTCCGTTCATTAGTTTTCTGCAGAAAGTGTCTTAACTGTGAACTAAGCAGGGTGTGATAGATGTCAATACTAAACTTATGTTATTTTTTTCTCATTGTCTGTACATGAAGACCATACATCAAACATCTGCATGGGTTTTGAGTTGGTCCTTGATGTTTTCTCTGGGTGTTTCTTCAACTGCAAGCGTCTTTGATCTTGTGATCTCTTTTGCCATTTTAAATGGTCTTTTGGCATGTCCAGCTTTCACAGAAAAAAAATATATAAATAATTTTAACACTAAATATTGAATATTTCACTCTGTGTTTGGGTCGTCATAGTTTTGAAAATGTAAAAAATGAACATTTTAATCAAACATTTAAAATCTGGGTCTTGGACAAAGGAAATATAATAATCTAGACAAAAATGTAGCAAATGGTGATAAGACCATTTTCATTTTGACATTCGTACAAAAAGAGAATGTGAAGTCTGTTAGTTAGTCCCTTGGCTGTAGTTGAAGAAATGCCCGTCTGTACATTTCTCTGGTTTGAAAGAAAGCCAGTGCTTTCAGTGCGGTGCTGTTTTGAAGCTGATGTGTGTAATCATTGCATTTGGCCTCATTTTGTAAACTCATATGTGCTATTTATAATTAATGTGTTTTAGCTTTTTCTGCAACTTGTTCTGACTCTCAGGCCTGTTTGCTACACTTCTGCTGTGTGTTTGTGTTTATCAGTGGCTCTCGGTTCCTGCAGCCGGCTCAGGTGTGTGACCTGCTGAAAGGTTTAATAATGGTGCTCTGTTACTCCATGATGCACTACGTCGACTACGCCATGATGTACCACCTGATCCGCGGCCAGTCTGTCATCAAACTCTACATCATCTACAACATGCTGGAGGTACTGAACAGCCCTCAAACCCATTTCATTTACTGGATCATGGGTCTCTGGGATCATGTGATAAAGGAATTAATCACCTAAAAATGTAATCTTTTTTTTAACCCACTCTTGGTTTGTTTCAAACCTGTATGCTAAACACTATGAAGAATGTTCATGCATCGTTTCCATATAGCATAAAGCAGCATACAAGGTTTAGATGAGCATCAGGCTCTGTATTGACATTTTAATTTTGGGTGAAGTAAATGTCTGTCATTTCATCTCTCAGGTGGCAGACCGTCTCTTCTCATCATTTGGACAAGACATTCTAGACGCTCTCTACTGGACGGCCACTGAACCAAAGTCACGGAAAAGAGCCCACATTGGAGTCATTCCCCATTTCTTCATGGCCGTCTTCTATGTCTGTATCCTTTTTTGTTATACAAGAAGTCTGCAGTGCTCAGAATATAAGATATGTCATAATTTAGTGTTGGTATCATTGCTCTTTATTTCCATATTGATGTTGAACGTGGTGTAGTAGTTCATTTGGGTTTTTTTATCAGCCCTGGTCATATGTCTCATTTAGTCAGAATTTGTCTGATTTCTTGTTTTGTTTTGTTTTTTCTTATAGAGATTTTGTTGTAAATGATATCCTGATGGATCTGATTCAGTATTATACAACTCAATATTTAATACAGTTGTTTTCCTCAATTTATATTTGTCTCAGTTCTGCATGCCATCCTCATCATGGTCCAAGCCTCTACACTAAATGTGGCCTTTAACTCGCATAACAAATCTCTGCTCACCATTATGATGTCCAACAATGTGAGTATAAACGCACAGATAAACATTTTATGTGCAGACAACATAATCGTCAGAATCATCCAGTTATTGTGTCACTGTAGACATTTAAAAATGGTGTAATCAGAGTTTTTATAAGCTCGTGTTTGTTCACGTTTCAGTTTGTGGAAATCAAGGGAAGTGTGTTCAAGAAGTTTGAGAAGAACAATCTCTTTCAGATGTCCAACAGTGGTGAGTCAAAGTCCCAAAATCTACCTAGTTATAGTGGGCTCAATTAGTTATTCAGGGTAATCACATACTAGATTGATGTCAGATGTTATTACTGTGAGAATTTAATATACACTATGGTTTCAAAGTTTGGGGTCAGTTTTTTGGAAATAAATAAATACTCCTGTTCAGCAGGGATGCATTGCAAGTTGATCAAAAGTACTACCAAATTGTGCATTACATGGCATTAACTAACTGCTTGATTTTTACCGTACATTTCTGCCATATGGACATCACATTGAGATAGTCACCCCTGATAAGCTATTACTAAATATAATGTAGAAACTTAAATTTTCTGTAAAGCTGCTTTGCAACGATTTGCATCGTGAAAAGCGCTATACAGATAAGCTTGAATTGAATTGAATTGAATTGAAAAGTGACAGTACAGGTATTTGTAATATTACAGTTTTTTCTATTTCAAAGAAATACTGTTCTTTTTAACTTTCTATTCATCAAGGAATCTGAAAAAAAATATATATATTTTTTCAAAAATCTTAAGCAGCAATGGCTTTTTAGCATTGATGATAAGAAATGTTTCTTAAACATCAAGTCAGCATATTAGAATGATTTCTAAAGAATCATGTGAAACTAAAGACTGGAGTAATGGCTGCTGAAAACTCAGGAATAAATTACATTTTAAAATAGAAAAGTTATTTTAAATTGCAGTAATATTTAAAAATATTTCAGTGTTTTTACTGGTTTAAAATAAATTCAGCCCTAGTTTGCATAAAATACTCCTACTGACTCCAAACTGTGTGTGTGTCAAGGTACTATTGATTTACTATATTCATGTTATTTAAGGTGCTGCAAAGAATACTATATTACCAACCAAGCAAATTCTCCCAAAAAATGGTTAATTCCCTTTTTTTTGTACAACATGCTTTAAATGTGGATTGGGAATATTACAGCAGTGTGCCTCAGTTCTGGTTATTCAAAGCAACTAGTAGAGTGTATGTCATCTTAATCACTTAGAGAGTCTTTGATCGCAAGGCAGGTGAAGGTGCAGCCTTGAACGTTGTGTGTGGGCTGACTCAGAAACATTATAGCATCTTTTTGAAATGCTAATCAAAGCTCTCAAGAGCTTTCTGATAACGCTCTGTGAGATGCTGACAGACTGTGGTCTCGTTTGAGTGCCAGTTTCCTACTGCACCCATCCTCTTTATGAAAGACACGCTGATATACTGTAATCAGCACCTATTCTCCCTTCCGCTGTTTACTATCGCCCCACTTTCAAATGGCCACTAAGTCTTGTGGTCGTCCATTCAAGCCTTTGTGATGGAATAATTCCCCAAGTTACTATTCATACACAACCTGCTGCAAACAATGCGTGCATCGCACGCATTACCATCCTTTGAAGTCTTACAAGCTGAAAGCTTTATTTGTTGATCGTCGTTTCCCCTCACATTTTGCTGGGATTGGAGAGAGTGGGGCTTTGTGAATATAACGTACAGAATTTGTGTTGCTTATATGTTATGTGTTTATATTTCTGTCCTACAGATATCAAGGAGCGGTTTACCAATTACATTTTGCTCCTCATCGTGTGCCTGAGGAACATGGAGCAGTTTTCCTGGAACTCAGGTCCGGATTAAGACTCTGATTAAAACTCTTAATTGAAAATGCAGGCATTTTTAAAGTGCAATCTGTTTTCTTTTTAGACTAGTAGTTGGTTTATTGTAGCATCAGTATCTAGCTTTTATATATGTGGCATCTTTATGAGCAAGATCCAATAAGATTCATTATGGTGGAACTTACCTAGAGGAATAGGCCGAGTTCACCCAAAAATGAAAATGTGCTGAAAATGTATCAACCTCAGGCCATCCAATATGTAGATAAGTCTGTTTCTTAATTAAAACAGAATGAGAGTCCAAATAGCTGAAAAACATCAATAATCCACAAATTTACCTGGATTATTGTGATGTTTTTATCTGCTGTTTAAACTCTCATTCTGATGGCACCCATTCACTGCAGAGGATCCATTGCTGGGCAAGTGATGTAATGCTGAATTTCTCCAAAACTGTTCTGATGAAGAAACAAACTCATCTACAACTTGAATGGCTTGAGGATAAGTACATTTTCAGCAAATTTTCAACAATGCTTGGTTAATCTGTTAACAGTGTTGATATTGCTCGTAGATCACCTCTGGGTGCTGCTTCCTGACGTCTTCATGGTAATCATGTCTGAAGTTGCGGTTGACATCGTCAAGCACGCTTTCATCACTAAATTCAATGATATCACAGCTGATGTGAGAGCCACAGATTTGTACTTGATTTTCAAAATAATCCATCTCAAAACCACAAGTGCACATGGACGGGGCTGTAAAGTGTGCTAACAAAGTGCACTAACATAGCCCTAAATATAAGCACCACATATGAACTTTGCATTCCCATCATGTTCTTTAGGTCTACAGTGAATATAAAGCCAGCTTGGCCTTTGAACTTGTCAGCAGTCGACAACAGAATGTAAGTAAAAGTTTAAATTATGGATGTAGTATATATTCATTTTTAAATACTTATTTAAAAAAAAAACTATCCCAGTATCTGTAACCAGCATAAAAAGGGAAAAAAAAGGTTATAAATAGGAAATGTGGTTGATTCATGGACAGGCCTACACGGACTACAGCGATTCAGTCGCAAGAAGGATGGGCTTCATTCCTTTGCCTCTTGCTGTACTGGTGAGATGTTTTCACTTGTTTTACTACTCGGGTTATTATTGCACATATCTATATGGATTCATTTGTAAGGTAGCCAAAAAATAATGTCTGAAACAATATAAATATTTTTTTTACTATGTATTTTCATGTTTACCAACATACTAATTCCAAACTGCAAAATAACACATTAAACAACCAATTATATGTTACTGGTATTATTCAAGACTAACACATTGCATATGTGATGCTGAAGATGGTTTTGTTTTTGTCTCCGTCAGTTGATTCGAGTGGTAATGAGCTCCGTGAAGATCCAGGGCGCTCTCTCATCTGTGTGTCTGCTCCTCTTTTATCTTGGGTAAATGAATTACCTCAAAGTGTATGGTATCACATAATGTGTAATTTTGACTGCATCACTTAGCATGCAACATAATCTCTACAGACCTAGAGTATTTGATTGTTTTGTTTTCAAACTGTGTAAATGTACGTCTGTGAACATTCTGTGAGCAGTTTTGGCCGGTTTCTTCATTAGAGGTGGTTGTACTGCTATAGTTTTGAAATCATGTAGCAATGCAATATGATTAAGTTGCAGGGAAAGGTTTGCGGTCAGTAAATTCTATTTATTTTTGTTCTGAAGAAATGACTACTTTTATTCTGCAGAGATGCATTGAATTGATTAACAGTGACTGCAAAAACTATGTTAATATTTTAAAAGATTTCTGTTTCAAATAAATGCTGATTCCTGAAAAAAGCAGCACATTTCCACAACAATTTTAAGCAACTATTCAAAATTCATGATTATAAGAAATGTTTCAAAACCACCATAATCAGCATATTAGAATGATTTCTGAAGGATCATGTGACACTGAAGACTGATGAAAATTCAGCTTTGCCATCAAATTATATTTAAAAATAGAAAAAAGTTTTTAAATTCCAATAACATTTCACAATATTACTGTACTGTGTTTTTTGACCAGATAAATGCATGAAATGATACATTGATTTGTTTCAAAATGTTCAGAACCAAAACTTTTAAATGGTAGTGTATTTTAAGTAAAAAACTGCTTAATGTAGTGTGGTTTGCTGTAATTTTTAGCCAAAGTAGTTGATAGTAGAGTAGTTAGCAACATTTTGTGAGTAGCCTGCCCAATGCAAGATTGTAATTATACATTTTTGATTGTTTTGTTTGGTTCTGTAGGTTGATAACAATGAAAGTGTTAAATAGTATAGTTATTCTGGGCAAGTCCTGTCACTATGTGAAGGAAGCTAACATGGAGGGTAAGCTGTTTGAAAGACCGACTGCTCAAACCTCTAAACAAACGCCCAAGAAAGCAAACCCTGCCAAATCTCCCCCACCCTCAGGTAACACCAGTTTGATTATTCAATAGTTCAGACATTCTGTCACTGTTTCTCAAACTCATGTGACTCCTATTTTTGGTGCTAAGGGAATTTTCAAAGAATCATGTTGCTCTTTTTCTTGTTCTTTTTAGCTGAACCTAAAGTGCAGCGACCCTCCACCTCCATCACCAAGCAGCCGAGCCCAAGAGCGAAGTCTTTTCCCCCGGCTCCACCTCCTGTAACTGAGGTGACCAGTGACCCGCCCCCAGATTCTCCTGCTAAACCAGAGGAGAGCAGCAGCGAGACGCCACAATCTACTGAACTTAAACACAAAACCACCAAAAAAGATCTGTTGGAGATCGACCGCTTCACAATATGCGGCAACCGAATCGGATGAACTTTAACCCCACCACCATAGTAACTGCTCAGGAACGAAAGTGGAGAAGACTCAGAGTCTGAGTCTGAAATAATTGCAAAGGCTTTCGAGGGAGTTCTTCAGAGGTGGCTACTGTTTAAATTACTCGTTTTGCCGTCCTCTCTGCTTCCACTTCTGTGGAATATCTACCAAAGGAAGCAGATCTTGTGCGTAAAGCATTTCAAATCAAAATGAGTCTGTTCACCCTTGGCAGCCTGGCATATATCACATGACGTGGAATCCAGTATATGTTGCTTTAGGATAAATTTGTCTCGATTTTATCAGGAAAAACTTGGAACAATAAACAAGGCATGAACTTCTTACAAACCAGACCTTTTATCTTTAAGTGGAAACTAAAAAGGATAAATTACTGTTTTTAAACACTAGAAAAAAATCAATTGAGTAATTTACAACTGATGCATATAAATAGATAAAGTTGTATATATTCGCACACTTTTGGCTTAGAATAACATGCTAAACGGGTTTGCCAATAATGCTGCCATTAGAATTGATCAGTCTGGCAAATATTTATTTTTAGAACTTGTAAAGGTATTATTTGTTTCAGTTGAAGTCTGTATTGTAACGCATACATTTCTTTAAAACACATGACTCACAGAAAGGGAAGGTTTAGCTAAACTAATGCCAGGCTGCTTGATAATTCAGCTCTGTATAATATCCGTGGTGCCAATCCAGCTGACTTAACTTTGCACTGATTTACCACTTTGTCTTAAGCTGTACAGAGTATTTTTGTGTTTCTAATTATGAAAGTTTACACCAGTTATGAAAGAGCAAATAACTGTTTCATATAGTGTAACAAAATGAGTGTTTTTCGAATGCACATTGTTAGTGTATTTTGAAATTCAAATCATCTGTGACCAATCATATACTGAGAGACTATTGTTTGATATAATTAATGTTTGTTGTTTTAAATGTAATTAAATTATTATCCAGTAATTAATAGTTCAGTATCATGTTTATACTGTTTTATAATGTTGCTTGGAAGGTGAGGAAAGTTGACTGTCAATCTAAGTCTGTACAGCCTATGTCTAGAATTTGCCTCCAGTATAGTCATGAGGTGCAGAGGTACCAAATGACAAGTCACTTGAAAATGGATATTCCGTCATTCTCTTTTGACTGAAAATTAGTTTTTTGAGAAGTGTTCCTGCCATGGTCTGAAGTGTGCATAATTTGCATTTCAGTATATTGTATTTTGTTTTATTTCCATTGTAAAAATGTAATGACTATTTTTGGAGAGATTCTGAACAGGGTTGCACAGATAGTTGTCCTCACGGTGTGTTCTCATTTTTTGTTTTTAAAATGTACCATAATGCTAAAGACTAAACCATTTGTTTTTATGTAATTCCATCCCTGTTTTTGGGACAGCAAATAAAAGTTGTTTTGTAATTTGTGCCATGTTTTATATTACAAGAGTTTATACAGAAACGTGTATGTTTTTGGTGCTGTGACTGGTGGTCATATTGTAAGTATTTTACAGTTTTTATTCACCTTGTAGTTTAATCAGTCAGAATGCATTCTCCATGCTACGCTCTGGTATTAAACTGCGCCCATGTATCCGACAGCCTGAGACAGTAATCTGCCACTTTGTGACCTTTTCTCCTACAGAATTCACCAATGGTGATGGACGGCTAGTAAATCTGCCCTCAGCCGCCTCGCATCTCCATTTCCATTTCCATGTATATGAGGTAATGTTTACCTCCCCTACTCCCACAACAAACCTCACTGTCCTTCTCCATCAAGACCTCCAGATAGCAGGTAGCTACTTGACACTAAGACATACAGTAAGCACGGAGGAGATAGAGCAGTAGGTTGTTTCTAAGGCAACTGTATGGCCATTTAGAATAAAGAAATCCTTTAGAAATTTCAGTAGTAGATAACCTTAATGGTGTGTTACATCTCAATGTATTTGTTGTTGAGAGTACTTTGCAGGACTAAACAGTGTGGTTGCCCTCTGATGTGACCATGGTAATCTGTCATTGTCCTGCTTGCTATTTCGTAAAAGAACCATTTCTTGTCCAAACAGGCCGTCGGGGGTTTGACACTGTTGGATTTTGTCTTTGTTCAACAATGTCTGACACACAGAACATTCTGCAGCCATTGCATTCTTCACAGAATCCTTTAATCCACAGCTAGAAAGAGAATTTAATCAAGTGAAGTCCTGCTCTGATATCATGTACACACAACATTCTGAACCTCACTCGCATTCTTTATGAATTAAGCAGTTGTTTCCCAGAATATAGTGAAAGAATAACATGCCTGGTTTACAATTAAAGGACTTTTGCTGTAGATAGACTTCCATTGGCCTTGTGGACTTGCAAAGTAAAAAGAGACATAACAGTTATGGAAGATAACTGCAATGTATATCAATAATGTCAAATTAAATTAGACTTGATGACATTAGTGTAATATAGTCTCTCTGTGTATTTAAGCTGTGCATATGAATGAAATACACAAAGTACTTTGTGTTCTTGTTTGTTTTAATGCCTTTGATGTCTTAATAAAATCAGAATAAAATGAGTCATGTTTTAAGAGATGTGAGCCCACTCAGTGGGTGAACTTGTTGGCTAATACATGAAAAGCTGAACAAGTAGATAAAATCCAAATGTTTGAAATGAAAATCCCCCACATGTGTTGCTTATGTAACAGCATCTCATATTCTCCCCTGCTATGACTCTGGAGACTGATTTCACCAATATTCCGAAATAAAAATCAGATTTTAGGGCTTGAACAATGTTTTTATCAACCCTGTCAATCTCCCTATCATTTTAGAGGTAGCTTAATAGTTTGCAGTAGAACTGTTTGTTTGACAGGAAAATTTGTTCCAGGACCAACGAAAGATGCTGATCCAGAATGATGTTCTACTCGACCTCTAACATTATAATGATGGATGTTAGTTTGTCAATGATGTTCCACCTGTTCAGTCCACCAGATAAAATAAACATGTTTACAAGGAATGGTCAAAGTAATAAAACCGTGGAGAATTTACCATGACAACTAGCTTCCACCAAGTTCTTAATGCGTGTTAATGCTCAAAACCAAAATAGCCTAAATAAGATCTTCCGTAGTAAAGCAGTGTCAGGTGTCCACAATGCCATTTTGGTTCAGCTATTTTTACCCCCCCCCCCCAAAAAAAAGAAACAGTGCACCGATTATATAACACTGCCGTTGTTAGGCATTAGAGCATTTTGATATAAATTATTTAGTTAAAGTGAGATAAACCATCTAATACCACAAAATGTATTAATATTTTATTATTAATTTTTAATAATTAAATTTATTAAATCCTTTGTCTAAAAAAAAAAAGTTTAAACTGAGGAATGGTATATAATTAGCCTACTCAACACCTATAAATGTTCCCAGGATTTTTAAAAAGAAAATGTCAAACCAAAGTTGTAATAGCCTATCATTACGGTTACACTTTTTTTTTCCCGCGGGAATATAGGCTACTTTACATATTTGAAAACAATTCACTAGTCACTTAGTTTGAAAACACGCTGCCATGAAAAAAAATATATATATATATATATTTTTTCTCAATAGCCTATCGAATATTACACTTTTGAACTAAAAATGAATCATTATGGACAAAAGGTGTTTAAAAGCAGTCACTTTTTCACCAGTCTTCAAAATCTAGTCTAGAAGTGGTAAAGTGGATGATTGAGAACAGCCTATCTTAAAACACTTCGTCGCTCATCTGTAGCCGACAGGCGGAGCACCGAGCGAAGCTCCGGAGAGGAGACCGTTAATAACACGGGGAGGGGATGCGCACGCAGTAGCCTACCTACACCTAAGTGGCTCATGCTCATCAGCCGCGTTACTATCGCGGGGCATCTGACTGAACGGCCGCACCGTGAACCTGCAGGAGCCGCTCGCCGCGGGGGGACCATGATCAACATGAATCACTCTCCGGACAGCAGGACTTGAGAAATCACCGAAACTGTCCCTCATAGTACACCCAGAATTTCCTCCACTTCTATCACCTGGAATTGCTTCAGCACCAGAACTAATCATGCTGTGGAAAACGGGACTGATTTTGCTATGCTGGGGCTTGACGTCCGGGGAACTCCAGGACAGGCAGTCCGGTTCTCCTGCTGCTCCAGCGCGGACAACTTTGGATTTCGGCTTCGTCCCCTTCGGAGTTTACGATACTGTCGCCTATTACGAGCCTGGGGGCATTGGGATTTTATTTAATATGATGCACGCTTTCCTCTATGTGGTTCAGCCCAACCCGTTTCCTGAAGGTGAGCTCAATCTTGCGATGTTCTTGAACTTCTGAGCACCCCAAGGAACCTCAAATCTCAGATTTCCCTAATCTTGATTAATAATTTGAATCGAGTTCAATAGTCTTTTATATAGTCTACCCCAATTTTTGCAGTTTCTTCAACTGCATCTACCATATCATGAGCAGGTAGATGCTTCAGGTGTGAGAGGTACCACCTGTGATGTCTCAGTGGTGGGTTAGAAGGTGTGAGGTGTTGAATACGTTTGGTCCGTTGTATTCTCCACCTCAGTGTTTGTCATTATTTGGTCAATCTTGAGATTAAGATTGTGACCCTGTGAGTCACTGTCCTAATGAGCTAAAACGCTAATCTGGAATGCCATATGTTGCTGTTCTTGTATTTTCCAGCCTGCCACAGGTGGATATAACCTGGTTCCTGGAGGAATCCCAACCGTACAACACCCATTTCAGATTGTGGAGAACTTTAATAAAGAGCTGAGTTGCATCAGGTGTTCGATTAGGTAGACATCCAAAAATGTGTACTATTGGTGGTCCTCTAGGTTCGAGGTTGGGAACAGCTGAGATTTTACTGTTGTACTTGTCGTCTTATACATTCTGCTATGTATGTACTCTTCTGTTTCCAATGGTTATAAATCCTTCGTTTTTCTGCAGCTTGCTCGTTTCTCATCTAGTGATGATCCCCCTCTAGTAGTAGGTCTAAATCATCCGTGCATTCGTCTTCTGAATGCATGCGGCACTAACGGCGTTTTGTTGTCTTTTCTTCCCTTTTTCTTTTTTTTCCCTTCATTCTCAAATAAAAATAGCCACAGCTGTAGCCTTTCAGCAAATTAATTAGAATGATAAAAGCTCTCTGACAGGCCTACAGTATGATAATTCAGCCCACTGCGTTTGATTTGCAAGAAAAAGACAGCTGCGACAGTCTCGCCATAACTCAGATTCTGCTTGATTTGTTCTCTGGAACTACATGTTTGTGCCAGTCTTGGAAGTCATTTCATAGCGTGGATTTTTCAGGCCACTTTCCGCGAACTGATTTAAGAAGGCTGGTCAGACATGCTCAAATCCTTTGATCCTTAAATCTGAATGGACTTTGACAAGTGAAAGTAAGGACACTGGTGTGTGTGTGTGATGGTAACCCCCTGTCTCCTTCCAAAGAAACAGTGTCTAACTACTCGTAAGATCAAAGCGTGCTGGGGGACGATGGTTTGGTAATAGCCTATTAATTGCTCAGTTTGAAGGTCTCTAGTTTCACAGAGTTATATTGCCAGGAAATATATTTGGGAGCACTTAGGAGCTCTTTGTTCTCAGACACTGACCTGGCTGTCCTGACTGCCACCTTTGGTCTCTCTCTGTGTGTATGAAGTGTATGATTTCTGAAGCACTAGCATCACCACTAGCATTTTTGTACAGATTTCTCAAATATTCCCCCATCTACCACTGGTTGCACAAACAGATATTCATGCTCAAGTCGCACCATTGGTTGAGCCAGTATTGCTTTTTCAGTATACTCAAAATCCAGAGTAATGTTTTATATAACCACTGAATGGATTACTTTTAATTGGTTGTATTTGCATAATAAGTAGGGATAGGATAAAGTATTTTTATAACATACACTACCATTCAAAGTTTTGGGTCAGTAATATTTAATTTATTTTTATTTGAATAACAATTTATTCAGCAAGGATGCATTAATTTGATCAGTGAGTGAGGGTAAAGACAGTTATAATGTTACAAATCTATTTTAAAATCAATGTTTTATATTTTAACTTTTTATTAATCAAAGAATCCTGAAAAATGTATCCGTTTCCACAAAAATATTAAGCAGTACAACTGTTTTTATTGATAATAATAAGAAATGTTTGAGCACCAAATCAGCATATTATGATGATTTCTGAAGGGTCATGTGAAACTAAAAACTTGAGTAATGGATGCTGAAAATTCAGCTTTGCCATCACAGAAAACATTACATTTTAAAATATATTTAAGTAGAAAGCAGTTATTTTAAAATGTAATAATATTTAACAAAAGTTTTTCAGCATTTTTAATTAAATAGATATAGCCTTGGTGAGCAACTTTTGAAGGACATTTAGTGTATAAGTAATCAATTATAAATCCTGTTAGAGAGCTATTGTAATATGAACACCCT